AATAGGGAACAGAGATGGGAAGGGGAAGAGATCTAAAGGCAAGTGAACATTTTAAGATATCAACAAGAAGAGAAAAAATAGAATCAATTCTCAACAGGTTCACAGCACCTCCTCAGCTGCTATGGATTTAACGAAGTCTTTGACAACTCATCTGATTTATGTTTTCAGCAATACAAACATGGTAACATTCCATTTCTGTAAGATGCCTCTCACAATAGCCCGCTTTGCTTAGTGCTCACAAACACTTGCAGTGCATCAAGAGTATGACACAGTGCTTTCCCTGTAGCATGAGTCAGAAAAAAATATTGTAATGCAGACATTAAAAGGGACCATTTCAATAGGAATATCTAACCGTTTAGCATTAAGAGCCTCATGAATCACACCTTCACTAAGGTCCCACCGGGCTGTATTGTGACCGAGAACACTGAAATGGATAGCTTGTCCAAACTTAGAATGAAGTGATTAATTGAATCCAGTTCCTTGAATGCAACAACTTGCACTTAAACAGTGCCTGCGTTACACGTGGGATCGACATCGCAAGAGTTTCACTGATAGTGGAGAGCAGCAAGGGGAAGTTAATGGGGGGAAAAAACCTAACCAACAGAGTTAATTACTCACTAAATAAAGCGAGTTGGGAATCAGTTCAGAGAATAGCTCTCTTCCTCTTTTTCTCCATTAGTACAATAAGGTTTTCCAAGTACTCAGTCTCTAAAAGGTTAGTCCAAATTTATGACTTAGTGATGAATATTGAAGTGGTACCCCCCCCACTCAACGAAGAATATGAGCAGCAACTAAATGCAACAGTACTTTCTCACTAGATCATAGACTAAGTAATGAATTTGAGATGGGATCAGAGAGGCGGGCCACCTTCTTCCTTCTAAAACTTCTAGGTTTTTTTTTAAAATGGAGAGGAGAAATATTAACATGTCCATTAAGGAAAAATTCTCAGCACAGAGTCGTGTTCTGCCACTGTCAAGCGCTCTGGGATGCTACCCTGCGTGAGGGGCGCTATATAAATGCAAGTTGTTATTGTCGTACTGTAATATTATGCAGTGATGGCCTTTTAAGCAGGGCATGAACACGAGGTAAGCACAGCGTAAAGTCCGCCAATGTCTCTTTCCACCCCCACCCCCCAACCACCAAAAGTCAGAGACCAGAAAAGCAGAGGGCAAGATTTGCTGTCTGGAGCTCTCCTCACTGAATGCGAGATGGAGGACCTAATGGCAGATAAACATACCATTGTTAATTACCTGCCTATCATTTGCAGCTTATTATTTTCGCCACAGAGGTTTTCTTTTTCAAAGAATCAGAGCTCATACACTTCACAAAGTGAACCGACAACTATTTGCCAGCGTCACGGACGATATTCTGAGCCAAGCAACGCGCATGGGGTTATCTTCTTACAAAGCATTTGCTGGATTCTGTGCATCTCCACTCACTCATCAAGTTACTCAGATGACATACAAGTCAAGCCCGTGACACTTTTTTTTAAAATGACCTCTGACAGCCACCAGGGAAATCATCAAAGCACATCATAAACAAAGAATGAGAATAGATTGGCCTGAGAGGAATACATAGGCACAGCAGCTTATACCAGCTGCCCTCTAATCAATTTTTGGAGAAATGTTCATATTATCTGTCAGAACTAATATTTACAAACTCATCTGTTATAGTCTAGGAATTCTGAAACCTCCTGTAGTTGATTTCATTTGCATTTTGGTGTCAGAGCGCAACTGCCACATAAATCTGTGCCCCAACCTCATATCTTTTTATCAAAAATGTTTTTTTTCTACTACTACGATTATTACTTTTCATTGACGCATTTTTTTTTAATGTTACAAAACGTTCAACATCATGAACTGAAGGAGGAAACTAAAAAAACTCACAAGGACTCAAATCAAGGACATGATATGGAATAAATTATAAAACGCAAATTGCAAGTATTATTGGATTTCTACACATCCTTAATCAACTGGTACTTCACAACAGCTTCCAGTTTTGATATAATGGAAGTGGTCATTCTGTGGGAACATTTGTGAGTACAAAAAATACAGCCCCCGAATAGCAAAACATAAAATATTAAAACCCAGCAGACTGGATATTTGTCGTAAATGGACTGCAAAGAAGTCAATTTAAAAAGAAACTCCCAGCTTTCATGGGAGTTGTCCGAGAATGTAACCTTCAGGGATTGTGTCGCAAAGGTTGAGAAAATCAAGCCGCCTGTAATCCCATTAATGAAGTTAGTGCACAGTCGAATTCAGAAGAACGTGCACCATTAGTGGGTGTTCAACTCCCACAAGACCAGATCTGATTGCCTGGTCATTTAAATGGAGGTCATTCGTCCTGTAAACAGCCGCTAGCTTTGTCAACCGGAAATAAAATGTATTGTGGTCTACTAATGGAACACTAACACTAAGTTACTTTCATAAATCATTGTGCCAATCCTGGCTTGTCAAAAGCAACATTGTCAATGACACGATCGATGCGCTCAGATTTGCACTGAACTTTAGCTCTGAATAGCATCAGCCTGAACACCATGGTGAATGCTTAACAACCAGACAAGCAAAGATACAGCGCTAAGTGGGAGCATCAGTAGTATTGTGCTTAGTTCTGGAGAGCTGTCTCCCCCACACTCCCAATCCAGTTCCAACCACCAGCTCAGGTGCTCAGCTTGTAATATTAGGTGCTTTGGGACGTCCTCCTGACATGAAATGCATCACTTCACGCCTCTTTGTAAAACGTTGTCATGCACAAAATAACTTCCATGCTCCCCTACTAACAGTCACTACACTTTACCGAAACTTCCGTGATGGCATTTCAATGTGAGTGATACCAAATCCAAGCATCATTATTACTCGACTCTTCAGACCACCAGATGAACAGCACCATTTGTAAGCATTAATAAGACTCTTTATATCTATTGCTCAAGGCTATCAAGTCCTCAGTTACCATTTATCAATAAACTATAGTGTCATTGTATGTGTCATAGTTAAATTTCCCCTTCCTGAGCCCAGTTCCCATTCTGAGTTGAGCGGAGGCAGCAGAAGCTGCTCTCATGGAGGACAGAGGGAGACCGGAGAAGGGGAAGTTATACTGAGGGGTCTTCCAGCCAGCTGGCATGAGTCTGAGGCCAAACCACACGCCCACCATCTTTGGAGTCAGGCCACTCTGCTGCAGAGCTATTGGTCCAATATATTTTCAGATTATGTTCCCATTATGTCTTCTCGACTTGTCTGCCATCACAACCCTTGCCTCAATAATGTGCTAGTTTAGCCTTTCCCTCAAAATATAGTTAATTCACTTTACAGTATATTCTGTGAAGTGCTTTGAGACGTCTCAAAGACGTGATAATGAGCTACGTCAAATACAAGGATTATTATTAAAAACTAAAGTGATCACAATACAAAATGCAACTGATGTTGGCGAATTTCATTCTTTTGTTTTCAGAAATCCAGAGACAAACAGCACTCCAACCAACAATTGGGCACGTCTTATCCTGACAAGAGTCCCTGTGTATGCATGACATGCGCCAACGGCAGTGGCCTGTCAGTAACAGTCAGTGTTGTGAATAACAGCTCCCCTCTGGGATGCGAACAAAATACTGATCGTCTTATAATAGCAGACCTCTTAAACAAGAGAGAGGAAGACAGCAGACATATATGGTGATGCTTCAGCACTGCAAGTTCACCGTGTTTGACATCAAATTAAAAGTCTATTGAAAAGCTTTATACACTGAATGAATAACAATTGTTCCCAAGAGGGAATGGGGGGAATATCCAAACTACTTTCAATTTTTTGGGATTGAAGATATGACAAAGAAAATTTTAGGTTTTTTTTGTTGGGTTTCGCTCAAACCAAGGAATGAAATGTTCCCCCCCCCACCTGGGGTTACCCTCCCATTCAGATGTAGCATTGCTGGATGCAGAGTAAAACTGATCCCCTTTGCAGATAATTGGTCAGATAATTCATCATCAGGTCAGCATGAAATCTTCATCTTCCCACATCAGCTATTCTTCTGGCTATGTGAGAACAAGTTACAAGTTTGTGGGCAGCTCTGCGCTCCAGGCCTGTGTGCAGTTGGAAAGAGATTCAGATCACCTCAACTCAACACATTTTGAGGGCTTACTTGCCAGCACAGAAAGGAAACCCATCAGTCTTAATGGGATTGGAAGCAAAACTCTTAAGAGAAATAATTGCCCTCTGCCTCAGAGTGAAGTTTATTCTTTTCATTGTATTACACAGACACAATGTGCAGTGCTGTAAATGAATTTGGTTTTTGGTGCGATATAAAAATCTCTTGACACCACGAAGTGTTTCTAGGAGTTCCTCCTAGTGGACTGGCCAGAAAGACTAAAAGGTCATTCACCTCATTGCTGTTTGTGGGAACTTACTGTGAGCAAACTGGCTGCTGTGTTTGCCTACCAAAACCCTGTCACTACAGTCGACTATTGAGAGTTTGAGATGTTGATTTTATAGCCACTGCTAGGCATATCTGGATGTAGTGCAAAATATTTGCTCAAAAGTATATAGAATAATGGAATCAATAACAACAACAAATTATGTTTGTATAGCGCCTTTCACGTCAGGAGGATTATGTTCTCAGTGAATGCCAGATTCAATGCAACAATGACGTTAGAAATGGGAAGTGAAATTCACTCAGAAGACTGTGGGTTGTTCGGCCAGTCACCCACTAACATCGTCAACACACGGGGAAATTTTACACATAACTTTCCGATGTTGTCACCAAGTCAGGATCAGGAGGTCAGAGATGCTCTGTGTGCTAATAAGTGGTTGTGAATGCTCTTTTCAATCGTATGTTATTAGAAAACAAGTAAAATGACAAATGAAAGTGAACTGAAGCAGAATGCATTAACAATTTTGCTTTCACAGAGCATAGCAAGAAAGCTAAATGGCTGCAGAACTATCCTTGAGGCAAATTATCAAACAGTTGCTGTGCTTCACAAGACATTGCATAGTCTAATCCCTGAACTTGTACTTACAATGAGTGACTCCAGCCAGAGTTTGATAGAAGGTGGGGGTATCACTGTCGTCGGTCAGGGTAACGCAAACTCCCCCCGAGAGAAGCCAGCGAGCGAATGTGAACGCATCCTTATTCTGAAGGAGCCAGTTCTTGAACTTCTCGTAATTGACCTTCTCTCCCTGGAATAGAAGCAAAACGATCGCAGTGCATGATTAAAATTCAGAGAAAGCAACACATACTATCTGCTGTGAAACAGAACTTTCAATCGGTTAAAACAGAACGGGAAAACAATCAACACCCGTAACCACAGCTACCGTGATGTTGCCCATGTCTTTAGCGTTGTTCTGAGCTTGTGCACGCAGGTGTAGCCTCACTGCAATAGTATTTTACGCAGAAAGGTCGTTCAAGTTATGGAAGCCTTATTTTACGCATTTTGGCTTCAAATCCCCAAATGTTCCACCCAGCACATATGCCTTTCAAAACTCTGTCGAAACAGAAAGTTATTTGAAAGACTTCTTTTTCTCTGGCAACTGAGACTCAGGCTTATCCAAGATATTCACCTCTTAACACACACACGAGGGAGGGAGGGAGGGAGGGAGAGAGACAGAGAGCAAGCAAGACCCCTGGCTTGATTCAGCTGGTAAATCCTTCTACATCGCTGCAGATAAGGAAACTAGTTACACGCTTATTAAATTCCCTGTTAAAAAAGCTTTAATTGAAAGAAAAAGTGGCTCATCAGACATCTTTCTATTGACAGCCCTAAGAAAATGATAGCAGGAAAGGGGTTAGATGCCAATCATGTTGACTTTAGCTGATAATAATCAAATCCCATTCTAAGCATACATTGGTTACCAACTTCACCAACCAGTGTTTCGCTGGATGAGACTTTTTTGTTCCTACTCAACACTTTTAAATGCTGTGGAATTATATTACTTTCTGTGCTTTCCAACAAAACAAAGGCTTGCTAAACATACCAGTGCTTTGTGACTGGTGGGGGGGGGGGGGGTTTCCTCCTCCAGTATTTGGGGATTTCTTTGGGAATTTGTCTGTTGTATTTTAGAAGAACCATTGTGGTTACGTTGGATTAATGCCAACAACAGTGAAAACAACCAGTCGATTACATTCATCCAAAATGAGCTTCATTGCAGTAGCGCTTGCCTGGGAAAAGCAACTGCAGTTTAGAATCCAGAATCTTACACCAGTCTCAATCTGTGGCCTTTTAAACAAAGCCAAACGACTATTTTAATTATCTACCTGAAGTGACAAACAGCCGGTCCATCACACTCTGATTATAGCCCTGTGGTCATTTAATATAGATTCAAGTCAGTAGAAGAGACCAAATTTCCCTCCTTTCTGAAATCAGTTCCATGGTTTATACCCTAACTTGGGAGACCGATCAGTCACAATATACAGGACACGACATCACTGTCAGAATAATGTATAATTCAATCTAATGCTTCGGACGACATCAAACTGAGAGCTCAGCCCCGCAACTGAGGTTCTGAATGTAAACAGAACCAAGAAATGACTTTCTTGCTCTCACAATTGTTTTTTTTAAGCCGGTTTAATATTTTTGCAGCCAAGCATCCAAATAATTCATGAAGCGAGTTTCAAATGGATTAGGGAAATGGAGTTTAGAAATGTAGCATGGGCCCATGCCTTCACATGACTGTGCAATGGATTGCTGTGAATTTTATTCCGCTTTTATAATGGCTGCCATGTTTGCATTCATCTCTCTTACAGCTTATTTAATTTGTACTTTGAACAAAAATCAAATGTAATGTGGGACTCCACCAAACGCAATTGGTTTTCATTAATTTGCAAACATGCAACCCAAAAAGTTCCCTTAGCAACAGCAGAAAAATCACAGTATTCCCCAGAGCTCTCTCAGGGAAAACCCAACTATATATTTAAAAACTGAGAAACTAAAGGGAAGCTAATCTGACAGCAGAATTGCTCCCACTACTTAAGTAACAAATTATAATGTGCTCAAACTTCCCCCGCCCGCTGTGACCTCAACTTAATCAAAAAGGAAGAGTGATTCATACTTAGTGATTAAAACAGCAAGCCCTCGCTGATTTGTTCCCTACTTTTAATTGAAAGAGCAAGAAGGACGGAGAGAAAAACAATAAGGGGGAAGAGAAGAGAAAGTGAGTGAGCGGGAGGAAGGGATAGATAAAGTGAGTGAGAAAGAAGGAGAGAAGGAAAAGTGAATGAGAAAGTGAAGTAAATAGAAATGAGAGAGAGAGAGAGAGAGAGCGTGCATACATTTGGATAGCTGTAATCATGAAAATAATAGTTAATTGCAGACTTCTGACATTATGCCGCCCGCACGTTTCAGAGTATGTGCAAATGATGCATCATCCTTGCTCTCGGCTTGTAGTTTCCCTCCTCCCTGCTTGGTGTACAAAACGAACACCGAAGTCAGCACCCAACAATCCTACTCCCTCACACCTACATCAATTTAGGTAAATTCTACTTCATGCTGTCAGTCCCACTAACTGCTGAACTTGACCAAACATTCCAAGAAAATGGAAAAATAGGGGAGGGGGGAAAATGGATAGAAAAAGGATTACACTTAATTCCAGTTCTTTACATTTTTATCCCCAAAAAGGCAATGAGAAGAGTAGTGATAAGAGAGAACATTTGCCAAGCTGGTATCATACTATTACATGAGCACAGGATTATAGCAGTAAATACATCAAACAACAACTTGCACCTATATAAGCGCCTTCTCTGCAGGGAAGAGCCTTCTCTGTCTCAGAGCGCTTAATACATACTACAAATCTCGCCTCCGCAAAACAAGTTAAAACAACAGGTTTACTATATGTTTACAGCGATCAAGAACAAGCATCAAAACAGGACTTCTAATCAAAGAAAAGGAAAGATGACTCACCGGAATTCTCGTAGTCACCATTTTTCAAATTAAGTCTTATTCTGAATGCAATGAGTAGTTAATAATACTAAGCAGTGACATGAAGCACATTCCTGTTTAGACAATCATACTGTTTCACAGACCCAGTCTGTTATCACACCAATTGAACAGTTCAACACCTTATCTTGCCTGGAGAAAGTAAACGATACCTGCCCTAGGAGTCGAAGAATGAAAGCTCGAGTCTCTTTCACTGAATGACACACGTGTGTGTATTCAGGATATACGTACAAACAGTGACCAAAAAGAACAGTGACCAATACGTCAGCGGGGAAATCCCACGTGGGGCTGTCCTATTATTGTGAAAGAGGAACCAAAATTGTTCCATCATGTGAACATTGCCAAAGTTTTAACAATACTACCCTATATGGAGGGACATACAATGCGCTTTTACAGTGAGAATTTCATTTTGATTGATATGGACACCATTAGTTCTGCTCCACTTTGCGAAAGTAAATTTCTTTCTACTCCTCTACTAGTGAAGGTTAACTGCATTTTTTAGGTTGACCCTCAAGACAATAAGTATTGAACTATTTATCCCCCAGTATGAGAAACACTTAGAAGATTGAACATAATTGCACACGCCAGATTTCGTCCCAGAAAATATCTGAATGTTCAAAAGGCGCCAAGAAAAACACAGCTCTGGAACTGAAAACCCACCGAGAGACTCCAGCGATCTGTGCCTTGGGCTGACCAGGCACCAAACGGTTCACGTTCAGACCAAGCCACAATGAGAAAGCACAAACATGCCAAATACATTGAGTAAGATCGGACCCCAGAGAGGAGCTATGCAGGAACGTTTGTGAGCGGTGGAGGAATTAGTTCAAATCAATCAAAAGAATTGCAATCTTGTTCTCAAACATGTAACTTGGATTATGCTGTGGACTTGAGCAATCATAGTAAAATAGTCCATTCAATCCGCCACAAGCCCAAAACGCAACAACTACAAATTATATTTATATAGCACCTTTCACTTCGGAAGGACGTCCCAAGATATCAAAATAAGACATCCCAAATTATCAGTTTCCTTCTCCACCTCCCCTAAAATAATTCCTTTTTGGTTAATTTCATATGGGCGGGGGTGGGGGGGGGGGGAATGGGAGGAGTGAAAGATTGAAGGGTGACTTGACAATCTTTATGCTCGTTAAAAATCAGAGTTAATTTGAAGTTCACATTTAACGAGCTCTACAATTCTACATCGCAAAGAAGATTGTGAAAGAGAAGTAACCCGCCCATCAAGATTAACGTTGGGGTTTCGGGTTGGGTGGACTTAATCACGGAGCCTTCCGAGAGAAAAAGCAATTAAAATGGTCTCCTGGAGAATTTGTTGGCTATATATATATAAAAAAGTAATGGTCCTCCTTTTCAGAGAGAGTGGGGGAGGGGTTGGAAATGCCTCATCTGTTGAGCATACACATCCTTATTCTTACCAAAGGAAAAGGGACAAATGTCTCCGAATTAACTTGGGTATTACTGACCAGACCACATAAAGCATACGACACAGAATGCTAAAATAAAATTCTGCCAGGTCGATACAGAAGCACAACAAGTTACAACAGGTGATCAGTCCAAGTTAGACCCCATGGGAAGCATCTGTATCTTGGTTCTAATGACACACCTTTAACAGCTGGAACAATACAGGTAAACAAGAGGGTTACTGACACTTACCTCAGCAAAGCATTTCTTAAGTCCCAACGGCACCTCACCATCACAGGTACGCAGCATAGTCTCCATCTCCTCTCGCACGACATAGCTCCCAGCCTCATTGGCAAAGAGATTAAAAATATCTGCAACAGGATAAAGGTACCCAAGTTAAAATACGCGTCGTGCTGTGCCAGGAGATAAACATCAGCTAGTTTGGTGGACTGACCTACAATACTTCTTCCAAGGAAACAAATTTGAAATGAATCTTCCCTCATTTCCCTTCGCTCAAGCTAAGAAGCTTACAGTGGACGAGGGTCTCAGACAACCAAACACACAACCAATCTATCTGGTAAATACAGGAACAGTCTCGACTTTGAGAATTATACAAAGAGAAAATTTCAGACCTCATGCAACTTTTTATCCATTTATTACTAAATACACAAGATAGTTTACTCCACATAAGTAGCAAAACTTACACTTTGCTTTTTCTTCATCTCTTCCCCTTGTCAGGAGGACCAGCCCCACGATCAGATTATTAAAATGTAGGCCTTTCGATGTTCCACCAAACGATTGATAAATCACCTGAAGAAACAAAACGCACATAATTTAATGTACGTAAACAAATACCGAGCACATTTTTTCTCACTGGGAACATGTACAGAACAGTCTAAAAGAAGTTTTATATTAAAAAAAAGACACCACCACCACACCACCATCTCCATAATTTACAATTTCAGAAGATAACATGTTCATCCTTTCTTTGCCTGCCTTTGAAAATATTCAAGCCATCTTCAGAGGTTTTGTACAAAAACGCTACTGTGCCCTGCAATATGTGGAGTGAAAATTGTTTCAATCCCTCGTGTTTTCCTTCCTAGCTCTCGTTGGTTATATGTGTGCCTGGGTGGTAACACAGCATCTGGTGTGTTGCTGGAACATGGTTTCATTACAACTACAGCAGGCATCAAAGCATATTACATAATTCTCCTGATGGCAGTGTTTTAGCTGCCAGACAGCAAATGCAGTGGGCACTCACGCCAAACAATCTACATTTCATGCCTGAACGCAGCAGCAGCATTTGATGCTCTTGTGATTTAAATAGTTGGGCACATGGAGGTCTTTTTACACGAGTGTTTGGTGACGTTTGTGGCAAATTTGCTATAATTTGGGCAAGGATTCCCACTTCAGTGTGTGGTGTAAATGGGGCTCAGAAAATGTGTTGGGATTCCTCCCCATACTCCTTTTAAAGGGTCCCAAGCCCCCTGCTCCCGCGAAAACTCCTCTAACATTATTAAAGAGCCGATCGCGCAGTAAAATATTTATAACCGCAGGTGTAAGTGGCAATGTTCTGTCGGTCTGTGCTCAAGTCAGCCTTGCTGCCTGAGTGCAAATAGTTTTTTTTGGTGGTAGGGGGGTGGGCGGGAAGGGGAAGCACTCATGCACTAACACAGATGGCTAAGTGCAGATTTTAAACAGTATGAAATCCAGATGAAAATCAAACAAAAAGTGCTAACAGTTTCAAAGTATAAATTCGGAGAGGGAGAAGAAAAATAACTCAATGTTATGATCCTTCTGCACTTTATACACTTACTTTATGACTTAGATTGACCCCCTTTCTTGTTTATTAACTAAATATTACTCTCTACCTTTTGTTAGTTAATTCATTCAGTCAATAATCACAGGTTATTTCAACTTAAAGGACCTTTTACAATACCACTTGTCCAATCAAACTTGTTCCAATTAGACTAAGGAGAATGCGACAAAACCACAGAGCAGAGTGACTTCTGCTCATGGAGCATATTAATAATGAGATCATTATTAATTATTATTGTTTTGTTTGAGATGAGTGTAATATCTAAATATATTATCGACTATTACTAAGTAATATTCAGTAATGCAAATCTCCAGAATTAGATAAATAGGGAGAGTCCCTCCAGAGAGAGTGCTCATTCCATTCCAGATACAGAAAATTTCCAAGCATAGTTGGCATCTGGTTTGGATACTTTTAAGCATGGTGACGGGTTTCCACATGTCAGACACCCGACCGATCCACAAAATTTTGTGGGCAATAAATTGGCATTAGGAGAAAAATACTTGGAACCATGCCCACGTACACACCAAACATTCACACAGAAGCAAATTTCATACACAACCATAAATTAAATCTAGGGGTCAGAACACAGCACAAGATTTTGAAAGACATCAATTTTTAGTTTTCTGGGATACTGTACTTCAATAAAAAGGCGTTTTTAAATTTTAAAGTGATTTTAAACTTTAGAAATGTATCACGTGGGAAGGAATCAGGAAGATCTTATGACTGAGAACTTTTCCCATCCTTGACTGGAACCAAAATAAAATTCTAGAGGTGCGACAAGGGGTGGCGGTGGAAAACAAGTAAACTTTAAAAAAAAAGTCTTGCTCATATAAACACACACAGGTGGCATCTGAGCAGGTAAGCAAGTCCTGTTTTTTTTTTTAAGAGGATCGAAATGACTGTTGCATCTTCAATGCAAAGTCTGAGTAACCCAGACAGACTCCAATGTCCAATTTTAAGACCAATGTTGTATATAAAGAATTAAAGTAAGTTCTCGAAATGTACTGTTTTCCAAAATGCTACTAATGACATCTAGTGGTAAGATGTTAAACTGCATCACACAGACAAAGCTTCCAAGTGTTTTAATCCAGACACCGCTACATGTGAATGGATCAAACATTATCATTAATCGAGTCATCGAGGCATCTCAAAGCGCTTCACAGGAAATACTGTAAAGTGGTTTTAATTGACTGTGTATTGCCGGGAACATAAATGTTGGGCAACATTTACTGGTGTAATAATCATAAAGGAAGCATAATTGCAATGTAAACAACAAGTGGTGGCGCAATGGTAAACCATCAAACCATTTTGATCTTACTGACAATAAGTTGCCTCAAGTAATATCTGCACCCATCTGCTCCAAAAACACTCGCAAGCGAGAAAAAAANCTCAAGACCAGCCAGCTCGCATTATTATTATTAATGTTTGATCCGTTCACAATCATGTTCTGCTGATTAAACACATCAATTTTCCTCCTTCTCTTGCTCCCTTCTTCCCACACTTCGATTCTAACCCAACCTTTTGCCTTTACCAAGTTAGGGTTGAAGAAAAATAAATCCAGTTTTTAAAAGGGAGATCAGCAAGAACTGTGTTTGAAAAGTATAAATGGAAGCCAAGGGGAAAGGACAGGGGAGTGACACTGAAAGGACAGCGCTTACAGAGCAGTGGCCCAATGAGCCGAATGGCTTCCTCCTGTGCTGTGAAATTCGATGACCCTATTCTATGAGTCACTCTGGTTTTCTCAAAAGAACAGCTATGAATTAGCACACGAATCCCAACCTCCTTTCATAATGCCGAACGCACCATAAATCGGTCATATCTTTATTGTGCAATATAGCAGAAGTAGAAAGCAGAATGTTGACCTTTGATCTAAAAATCCACGTTTCCAAGCAACAAAACGCCACTGCTGTGACTTACATTGTTTTCTCTATTGGGTTCACACACTGGTTTGCTGAATCAGATGTCTTCTGGAACAGTGAAGGACTATGTATGAACTCTCGAGACTGCCCAGTTCCGCCTCAAATACAGGGCCCAACTTCCTAAGCAGCTTAGTGTTTTGAGAGTTCAAATAGCGCTCTCAATCACCAAGCTGCTCAGGAATCTTGATGACTCTCACTGATGAAATGAATGCTTTTCTTCCGCTTGTCGCTGGGCAGCAACTTGATGGAAGGATGGGGTCAGAAGAGAACACAATATAAATACGAGCAGCACTTTTGCGAGTGCACTCGGGAGTCTGGGAGCAGACTCAAGCACTGAACGGACGTGCAGGCTCCACTCCAGAATCCCACGAGCATAAAAACATCGCCCACGGCTCCCTCTTAATGCTCCTTCCACCCGAGATGTTGCTCAGAGACTGGCTGAAGTGTTCGTTTCTTTTGGAAAAAAAACAAGATGTGAGCGAGCGTCATGTGTTTGTAACATTGACACGGGGTGGGGGTGGAATAGCAAAGAGAGAAAGGAGAAAAGAAAACAAGAAATTGTCTTCATCTAGTTTTTGTATGATGGCGCAGGCAAGCAAAGGAAATAAATAAACACTGTACAGCAATTCGGTTCAATCATAGACACTGAGAACTCGTAAGGTGGCAACATTTGCATTTTCCCTGACTTAATGCCTTCACAAAATGGGCACCAGAGAAGGAAATGATGCGAGTGTATAATACACAGTACTAATGCGATCTAAAATATGGGAATCGCAACGGATTCATGAATACTGAATTCTGCTTGCTTGCATCCAAATGTGCATCACGCCAACCTGGGTGAACTTAGCTGAGTGGCTCGATGGCGTCAGAGTGAAGTTCCCACGAGTCCTAATACGACATCAATTGGCTGCCGCCTTTTGCCCATAAAATACAGTTAATTCACTTCATATATTGGCATTGTGCTCCACCGCTGTCAAGCATTCTGGGACTCTATCCTGCATGAGGGGCACTATAAAAATTGCAAGTTGTTGTTGTTATAATATATTCTGTGAAGCGCTTTGAGATGCCTCAATGACACGATGAGGCACTATATCAAATGCAAGGATTATTATCATTATTATCATCATCTAATTACTGGTAGGAACGAATGCTTGCAACTCTCCGCATCTTTTTTAAAAAAAGACACCCACTATCCCCAGTGTCGTAGCATGGGCACCCTTAATCTGCGCTGCTTGATCCTGAAAGACACTCGACCTGCAGTCACGATCTGAACCACAAGCTGTCGAACTAAATCGTTTCTGACAATCAAGTCACACATTTATATGTCAACACGTCGTCAGGTTAAACACGGCTTAGTTTATACGAACAGAGGCTTGGAATCGAACAACACCTCGTACTTCTGCATCGCCTTTTGAGAAGGAAAATCACAGCCATGTGAGCCAGTTGAGGTGGGCAAGAAATAAGAGGGAAGTGCCCGAAAGCAGGTTCAAGGAGCTACTGGAAGATTGCAGTGATCTTAAGCCTTTTTTTAAAAAAAAAGACTTTCCATCACAGAACACGTTGGCACTAATCACCATTGTAGTTAAGTATATATCTAGGATACAGTTGTAAACTCGTGCTTTGTCAGTTTTCTCTCCCTCACAACGTAGAGAGCTTTGGGATTCTTTTCGACACCTCAGGCAAAGTGGCCAAGTTTCTGAATTGCCTGTAGTTTCTCATTCTCTTAATATAGTTCCAAACTTCACAAGAGAGTCATCTGGGGATATATATCCCTTTAAAGCTGGGATTCAGCTCACAGTGTTGATTTCAGAACCAGTTCAAATAGACATATTTGCATTTTCTGAAGTCAGAGGGTTTGAGATTCCAAGAAAGCTTGCAAAAACAACAAAATAGTCCGGGTTGGGGAATGGGGGTGAGGGGATGTGGGGGGGGGGGGGGGGGGGTAGATATTTCAGGGGGAGAGTAACCATATTTTGAAGGTAAATAGGAAAATTAAGCAAACAACAAATGGTGAAAGATGCTAAAAGCTGATATTCAGAGTTTCTAAGAAAAAGATAAGATGATCACAGAAT